GAACTTTTGACGTTCTCATACTGTTCCAAAAAACAAGTTGTGTTAAGTAAATCTGCCCCCAAACCTCTTTGGAGTGTTGAAAAGTGAGGATGTTACTTTGAAGACTAAGGTGTGCCTACACCCAAACAATGGCAATTTCAGTTGCCTCAACTGCATGTGAAAGCCGGTCATTGAGTAAGAAAGACTGAAGAGTGATTCACTTGATTTGTGGTGCAGGAGAAGTATATTGAAAGTTCCATGAACTGCTAAAAGGAAAAACTGATCTGTCTTGGAAGAAATTTGGCCAGTGTTCCTTAGAGGCAAAGATGGCGAGACTTAAATATTTTGGACATGTTGTCAGGAGAGACCTGGAAAAGGCATCTTGCTTAGTAAAGTAGCGCTACAGCGAAAGGGGGAAGGCCCTCAATGGGATGGATGGTCACAGTGGCTGTAACAGTGGAGTTCAAACAGTCGTGAGGGTGGTGCACAGGGCCGGGTGGTGGTTCCTTCTGTTGTGCCCAGGGCCCTGCAGGTCAAGAGCTACTCAACGGCAACACATACCATTTCATATTTACTTCTTTTAAGAGTAGTGTTATCTGTAGTAATATCAAGAAACTTTATCCATACTTCTTTCAGAAGGAACTTTATTGTAGACAAAACCAATAGGAATGTGCTCCTCCTACAGCTATAAGGAACACCCTTAATGGCACGGAAATCACTATTTAAGTGTCAATACTTCATGATTACAAATGATTTTCTTGACCCAAATCTTTTAGGAGTTTTGATAGTTTGAGATCTGAGTAGTCAATGAGCTTGGTAAAACTACCCAAAGAATACAATATATTCTTATGTTTTTAAGTTTTTCTGCCTTACTTTGTGGTTTTATTGGAGTTGGTGCTAGCATCTCGCAGTTAAAATGCATTTCATATGTTTGTTTTTATTTCTAGCTGGTAAGCAGTGGATAATGTACTCAGGGAAGCACTCAGGGGCTTCAATGGATGATAGTCAATTAATATGGGCCTCTCAGCCATCATCCCTAATGAGATATAATTCTAGATTTCATACACATGTGGCTATCGTCCCATTTTTGGAGGAAATTAACAGTATTAGGATGAGATTGAAATCTGACCTAAATATCTAAATGTGTTTGAGGTAGACTTTTTAAAAGTTTGTTAGACCTATATTTTTGCAAATTAAAAAATTTATTGAATGAGACATGCGAAATTTCCATGATCTTAATTCCATTAAAAAATATATCATCTTCTGTATACCTTATTCTAACCTTCGGCCAATTTTCTGGCAAGTTACTGCTTGCAGTCTTTAAATACTTTTATACGGTAGTTTCTTCCTCTGTCTCTTCATTTTGTGATACTGTCTTTTGCTTTGTTTTTACATCTATAATTTTTGTAATCCTAATTTTGATTGTGCACTGCCTTTTTTTAAACTACTTTAAACTATTTAATGTATAACGGTAATGTTTGTGAATGGTGTATGGTAGAGATCTACTTGTTTTTTCCTAAATGGGTCGGACCTGATCGCCTGCAAACAAATGAAAATATTTCATCTTTTCATCTAGTTGAAAATGTTCATCACAAATGAAACTGTATATACAACTATCTGTGTGTGTGTGTCCTTGTCTGCTTGATTCTGTTAATGACATACTTCTAATTACCATAGCCTTATGGAATGCTCTGTAATGGTAACTGGGACAAGATCCTCTACTTTGTCTCTTCAGATTTTATTTTCTTTTGTATATAATCTTTCCCATGTCAGTACTAGATTTCATAAGTTCCATGAAAAATCTTACTGGAATTTTAATTAGCGCATTAGTTTTACTGATTAATTTTAATAAATTTTCCTATCCATAAACTCTGCATCTTATTCCATTAACCAGGCATTGTCCTTCAATTTTATAATTTTTCATGCAGTCAGAAATTTCTTACTAGATATTTTATAGTTTTTATTCCCAATCTTAACTTACTGGTCACTGTGTAATCATAGGAAGAAGAGGAAAGGGTATGAAGATGATGACTATGTCTCAAAGAAACCGAAACATGAAGAGGTATGTTTACTACAAACGAAAGTTCTTATATTTTGTTTGCACATTAGTGTGTGGCCATACTGTTTATATTGTCCGAGAGTAGAGATTTTGTAAGGAATATAGGAATGCGGCACAAACGGTCAAGGGCTAACCTAGTAACGGAAAGGTTGGCAGGGGCACCTTAGAAGCGAGGCCTCTGAAAGGTCACAGCCTTCATGGAGTACAGTTCTACTCTGCATCCTGGGACTGTCACAAATCCAACTTGCCTTGCTGGCAAATTAATAAGATGGGAGTATTAAGCTTTCATTTTGTAGACATTTTTGTACACTTCCAATTTTTAAAGGAATTTTTCTCGTCTCTTACTCTAAATCTACAGTATGATAGGTCTCGCCTGATGAAGGGGATACTCGCATAAGCTCTATTTCCTACTGTCCACGTATTCTTCCCACACACCTTTTAACATGTGTGCCTGCTGAGTTAGAGAAGCATGACCAAACAGACCAGGCTACAACTGTAACCATTATTACTCAAGGAGGATAGTGCAATTGTGGATCTTACTGTAAGACTGAAGTAATCTAATGCAGGTTTTCATAGTTCAGCTACCTTCAAGTCATCATGGTAAAGGAAAACATTTTCTTAAATGAGGCAAGGGGGTAAAAATAATGGTTATGTTTGAGTGTAAATTTTATTTCCGTCCCCCCCTCCCTTTCTTAGGAAGAATGGACTGACGATGACCTGTTAGATTCTCTGTAACCATTTTTAAATTGATGTCACTGCTAACTAATCGAGAAGAAGGAAGCACACCTGACATTTAACTTTATTTTTAAAGTATAATGGGAAAACATCAAAATAGATATTTTTAAGGTATTTAAAAGTCTTGTTCTTTTTGGTAGCTTTATGTGAAATAAAATGCCTTCAAAGGAGCTAAAATAGTACGTGGTTTGGAGAATTTTGTGCTAAATAATTGTCATTTAAGTCTACGGGTTAAACTTGCAGTGTATTTGCCTATAAACAAAATTTGTCCCTTTTAAAAGGTATCCCTTGGGGGTGGGGGGGACAAAGTAGTTAGCTTTACAGAACAATTTTGCCCTCTAGAAACCTTTATAGATGACTTTTCATGTCACCTGATACACTTAGTTGCGTTAGTATTAGACTCTAGAACATACTTCAGTTGTTACATGGCCCTGAAAGCTAGTCTTATGTAACACGTTTTCTTCAGTTATTGAAAACATTTCCAAATGAGATTTGAAGTTGCTTTTAAAAGACAGCTTCCGCGTATGCTTGAGTAGAAGCTGACCCAAATATTAGCCAAGGCACCTAATTTTACCACAAAGGGCTCATGAGGGAGGGGGGAGCGGGGAGGGAAGGGAAAAAAAAAAATGAGGACCTGATGCCGGGGGCTTAAGTGGAGAGCAAATGTTTTGAGAATGATGATGGCAACATATGTACAAATGTGCTTTACACAATTCATATACGTATGGACTGTGATAAGAGTCGTATGAACCCCTAATAAAGCGATTAAAAAAAATGTGCTAAGAAACTCAGCGTGTACTCAGAGTATATACAGTACACATCCATTTTTACAATTAACCTATTAGTGCATATAAAGCCATATAAATGTTATATTTGCTAAGCATTTTCTTTTAGCTTAAAAACCTGATACATTTGGATGAAGTTTATGTAATACTATACCAAATTACCTGGGTTTTAAGTAATTATTGCCTATACTTCACTCTGACTTTGGCAACGTATACCTCTCTGCTCGTTCCTCAGGTTAAAATTCAGAAGATAATGCTTGCTCATGTAACTAGAATAGTCTTAACTAAAGCTTACTCTTTATTAGAAAAACCCCTCCCTACAAGGTACTCACTGAATGTTAATATTAAACTATTTGCTCAATTAATAATTAATATGGTTTTTAAATTGGAACCAAATTGTGGGTCACTCTATATTGAATCAAATGTTTTCTGGAAAACCAAGCTGAAGGAATTCCCCAAAACATAACTGTCTTTCATTTGATGTCAACACATGGATATGCACACCTGTGTTCAGTCTCAATGCATTCTAGGCTGTGCTTTCTATAAAAGTGTATGTACTATTTTAATTAGTTCTTAGTATATAAGGACAGAATTCACTATATGCTTATGCTTCTAATAATCTTTACATTCTAGGCTTGAGGTGTCTTCTTTCACTGTGGGATGACAAGAAGACATTACATGAAATGAGATTTCTCAAAAGTGGAGAGAAGCTGCAGGTGAACATGCTCCAGTGTAGTCCAGAATAAGCGACATTGGTTGCTAAACCCTGGAGAGAATTGCAAACTGTCAGTTTATCTCCTTTCCTTTCAGATCGCAAAATTCTGGCACCAGAGCAAGGTCCACATCTATCTCCCCAAAATTTTCCACCCCATCCCTATATAAAAATTAATGTTTGAGAGGTTTTATTTCAATAATGATTAGATAGTTACTGTAAAGTAACCACCACCACACTTCACATCCTAGTTTGAGGCATATAATTTGATGTAAAAAGCAAGAGAATTTTTCTCCCGTTCGTTATTAAAGGTAGAAGAGGAACGCTTTAATGTTTCAGGCAGGATTGAGAGACATGTTGGTCAAGGGCTGGCTGAAGACCAAGATAGGATTAGTAGGAATCAAATTGCCTAAAGCTTGAGTCTGGTCCATTTTACATGCTGTGCCTATCCTCTTCCTCCCTGCCGCTTCAAGGAAGAGCTCACATAGGAAACGGCTGTGGTAGTTCAGTTGAAAAGCAGAAGCATAAGGAGGGAAAAGAAAGTAATAAGGCAGATGAAAAGGGAAAGAACGAAACAAGCTGGCACGGTGATGATGGCTTAGGTAAGTATCACTGCTGAACTGCCATTGAAACTATCAGGCCTAGCTCCCTCAATACAAAGAGTGGTCTTTTATAGCAAAAAACAATATTCATCAAAAATTGTTAAATCCCTTGATTAGATACCTAGTATTTGTATTTTTTCCTGTATTTTATATACCAAAGAGAAAATTAATAAATTGCTCTTGCTTGGAATCTACACATAGTAAGTTATTCATTTCAGTGGGGAGATCTTTTCCTATACCTCTCGATTCTTAATTTACCCATTTTGGTTACAATTCTGTCCTGTACTTTTAATATGCCTCATCTCTTCCACATGATATGGGAATAAGTTGTTTAATAGAGGGGGCATTAAAGTTAATGGAAATATTCTTTAATTCCATTTTTCTTTCAACTTTTTGAAGCCCTCTAGTACATACTGAAGGGATTCTTAGTGGTGTAATGGTTAGGCATTGTTGAGCTACGATCCACATGGTCGCTAGTTCAAAGCCATCAGCAGTTTCTCAGGAGATAAACTGGGCCCTGAACCTGCGGTGAAGTTAGTCTCACAAACCTACGGTTGTTGTGAGTCAGCGCTGACTCGAAAGCAGTGAGTTTGGAGTATATGCTGAACAAGTAAATGGAATCTTTTTTGAAAATGGTTCTAAGTTCCTGGAGCTTTGCTCTGGTACTAAAGTTTGAACATCTAAAGAAGGTAGGAAATAATAAGATTCAATGCTTAGCTATATGTAGTCAGAAGTAATTCATATGATATCCCTTGGTTTTATTTTAACTTAACCCTTGTGAATATTACACAAAAATACACATACAAAAGCAAATAAAATTATACAAACTAAATACTCAGTAGATACAACAAATTATCAGAAATTTAAAGATGGAGACACTAAGCAGCTGGTGGTATGGTTACATAATCAATGGGGTGCTCAAATCCCAAACTCAACTTGGAATTAATGAACAGGAAGTTGGTAACCTCTAAAGTGGCTGAATGGATACATGCATCAGTGAATACAATGGTCAATAATATTTATTGAATTCATATTATTTACTGTTGTAAACATTTTACCAAAATGCATTATGAGCTCTAGATAGTCTTCAACAAGTCCAACAAAATAAGTGGTATGTTTAAAAAATAAAGCTGATGAGCAATACATCCAATCTATATATTTTCTTTCAACAGTTCCAGCAAGAGAAATCGCACATTTTAAAAAAGTATACAGCAAAGATTGTTTCTATTATAATGGCAAATTCTTGAACTGTGAATACAAATAAAGTCATTGAACAGTCAAACGGTCATATTCTTAAGCAGGAAAAAGTTACAGTAAGAACAGTCTTCAATCCAGTTGGTCAGTTGTCAATAGAGAATGCTTTTTCTTGTCAGTTGATTTCAAAGTTCTTTTTTCAAGAGACAGCAAAACTTTGGCAATTGGATACATTGAAAATATATTTGAAAAGTTCAAGATACAGTCATGTTTTGTTTTGTGAAAGGTGATCTGTACACCAAGGCTCAGAGGTTGGTAAAGATTGAATCCATGTGGAAAAAGTGCAAATATTCTGCACAGATAGCTTACAAAGCTGTTGATACTGTTATTTACCAGCAGAATCTTGAATTTTGTTTGCATAGTTCACACATCACTGGGAATGTGTAAAGATGTGCTATTTTTTGGCAAGAGCAAAGGAGACATTATAACTGATGTGAATTACCATGTTGGGCATGCTGGAGCCATGCAGAATACTGAAGTGAAGGCTGCTACCTGACATCATTGGTTTTTGTATACTGGTTTTGCTTCTGTTGAAGCAGTTCTGTTATTGCCAGAAGCTTTTTCAGTACATGCTAGAAAGGGAAACAAAAGCATGAAAATCATTAGTACATATATGAGTAAACGCCCAGTCAAAATATGAGGGGGTTTAAAAAAGGGTGACACAAAAATTCCACTGTATTTTAATTCCAATTTTTCCATAAAAGTTTTAGCCTCCTTATATTAAGTTAATCTAGATCGGGCTGGGGGGGAGGGGGGGGAATAATCCTTTGTCATGCCAAAGGATTTCACAAAACCTAATTCTCTCTACCTAATGCATAATCATTTTAGAATATCCAATTAGTCTTTATATATTTATAGTTATAACCCAAATATGAAAATTTTGTAGTCTACTACATTAATTTGTACCTGGTATGAGCATTAATAAACATTACTATGAAATCATAGAAACCTGTATTAAAGTTTAAAATGTGAAACTTATACTTTTCAACATATCTTCGATCTAGTTCTATATACTTCTATCTAGGTTTATAAGCATCTCCCCAATTCTTGGGAGATAGGAATCCTGGTGGTTCCAACTGGCGTAGTGGTTACAACCTTGGGCTGCGAGCCTCAAGGTCCCTAAGCCACCAGACAGTCCACAGGAGAAAGATGGCACTTTCTAGTCCTGTAAGCCAAAAGTGGCAGTTCTACCCTGCCATCAGGGTCGCTATTAGTCAACATCAAGGTAGCGATGAGAGTAAGAACCCTTGCGGGGGTAGGGAAGGTGGAGCAAGATGGAAGATATATTGGGGGGAACTAGCTTTACATTTTTATCTTTTTGTGTAATAATGCTTTCTATATTTCACAGCAGTACTTAATTTCTTACCCTCACTTGCATCAATTATAATGACAAATCTGCCCCCTGGCAAAACAGTCTGTCCTTTTATTTCTAATGTGTTGGACTTAAATTGTCATAACTTATAAAGTTTGAGGATTTTATAATCTCAGATCGCAAAGAACTTGGGATGATCATTCTAAATGCCTCAAATTCTTCTAGATGATCTAGCTCTGTGTCAAAAGCTAGTGCGGTGATAGTACTCTATCTCCTAAGGGGACAGGAAGCTCTATGAAAAAGCGTGTCCATGTCCTTCCGTTTATGAACCTTATGCAGTAACTTCTCAATGCTCTTTCAAGAGCTAGGTCATTCACTTCTCTCCTGATTTTAAGTCCCTTCAAGTCCTCGTCCCTCTTCATAGATCGCAGTTTCTGTCTTTTATTTTAGATCGCAAAAGTAACAGTGTTTCTCAATGTATGGTTCTTAATTCACTTACATCTAAATCCCAAGAGGAACTTTAAAAAAACGTAGACACCAATGCCACACCCCAAACTCTGGGTGTAGGTCTTATATAATTTTATCAAATTCCCTATCACTATGACAAGCATTGTGTGTTTGTCAGAGAAGAAAAGCGCCACATTATTTATTGTTCACCCATAATTAGCTAACTCGTTTTTATCCATATATTCCAAAAGTGAATACCACTGTGTTCTGATAGAGTTGACATACTAGATTCAAGAAGATTTGACATTTTACAGAATCAAAAGTACATCATCTTGTTTTGGAACCATTACTCCTGTCTGCCAAGATATTTCCGGATAGATTCACACTCAAAATTACCTCTGAATATCTTACAAGGGTTAAACTCATAACACATTTTTGCTCACAAAGATTGATAGACACCGACCTGCTGTGCACCACGCTCATTACTGAGTGTCCGCAGTTCATCTGAATGGGCCACACAAATCTCATGTAATGCTGCTAAATCACGAGATAAGTCAGTTCTTGAATGTTCTGTAGTGTCTGGAAGTTCAGGTACATTCTTTAAGGGAATAATTAAAACATTTAGAAATAGAAATCGTTTAAGTCTGTCCCCTAAGAAAAATAACTGGTTACAGTAGAAACAATTTTCCACAAGTAATATACCTACTCCTCACTTGCTAGTTACCCTCATTATCTGACAGTTCCTATTTGACAATAGTCTTTTTAAAAACACCTACCAGACTCTGGTGTATAACAACCTTCATCTGGCAATGGTGACTGTCAGGGTATGAGGCGAGAGAGGCAAGCTGGTTATGACATAGTTTAAGTGTCAAGTTGACTGGGCCATGATTCTCAGTCTTGTGCCAGGGCAGTTACGTAAATGATGGACTCCATTCTCCATCCTATGATCTGATTTGTCATTTTTGCATAACACTGGTTTTCACGTATGAACTATTTTTCTAACCTGGCCATATTGATAAATGAAGAGTGGGGTTTACAGTTGTGTGGTCTTAAATTCCTTAAGGATTCTTAACATTGCAATGTAATACTCTGTATTTTGACAAAACTGCTTTTGTGGTATTATTCACATGAACACCAGGCTCCAATTTCTTACATACATGGCAAAATAAGGTGCAGTATCTGAAGAATTGCATTTCTGAGTAATTAGCTTTGTATCTTAAAACATTAGATTTTTAGGCTTTAACTGCTTATGTGGATTAAATCCAACCTAAATATATAGCTCCTCTCTTTTTTCAGACGGAATTTCATTAATAAGGTGCTACAGTTTGTCCAGATTGAGCAAGAATTTAAGGAGGAACTGCATAATGAAGGTGTGATGTGAACATACCAGGTCTGTACTTGCCTGCGAACTCTGCCCAAAACATTTGCAATGTGAGGAAAAGTTAATTATGGTACCTTATGTAAGGGTTATATTTGCCAATCACTGGCAAATTGATGTGCTTTATTATTAGCACAAATACCACTGTTATTTCTACACTTAAAATAAAATTTAACATCCCCGCACCTTTTTAAGTATCCATTCCCCTTTAGGATGGTGAAATAGTTACTACAATCCTAAAATATGCAAGAAACTCAGAGAATGCCTAAGAAGCACAATGAAAGGTATTTAGTTTAGGTTTACAGTTCAGCAAAGGTTTCATAAAGGAGATAAAATTGAGGTAATATCTTGAAAGATGAATTTAATTTATACAGGGGAAAGGGAAAGAAGACTAATAGGGAACGGGAAGAGTATCAGAAATGTAATTTTACGCAATGGGTGGATGTATGGATTGTGATAAGAGCTGTAAGAGCCCCCAATAAAATGATTAAAAAAAGAAATGTACTTTTACAAATATAGGTTCTCCCCGCATGAAACCTTTTATAAGCTGAAATCGTCTAACAGGAAAGAGTTCATTGGGAAACCTTTTTTGAGCATTCCTACACCCCAAAAAGAATCTTAATCTAAATTAAACACTAACATAGGCATAAAGTAGGAATAATAATCAACAGCCTATATAAAGTGACAATAATGTATTTGCAATGAAGCTCCCAGGGAAGGTCTTGGCAATACTACTCAAGGCCAGCACTACCTTTGTATCGGCTTGCTGCAAAACAAATGCTAGCTTTACTTACAAAAGTGAAAATTCAATTTAGGTTTCTTTCAGCTAATGAAAACTCAGTATGAAATAACTCAATGGCAACGGTGAAAACAGGCACTAATACAGGTCTATTGTAAAAGCAAAGTGGTGTATAGTGAGCTTTTGAAAAGTGGAACATACCTGTATTAGAACTCTGAGCAGGTAGAAATGCTAAATTGTGTGGCATAACTATGGAATTGCAAAATGAAGCCAAACTGCAGATATTTTTGAGGTAATAAAAAATAAATGGAGTCCAATCATGATGCACAGATCCCAGAAGCTTAGAAATACAGTTTAATATCTATATTTTTTACCTGTTTATTAGTTACAATGGAGAAAATTCCTACTCGTGGTCACTTTGTTGGTGTGCAAATAACTGCTCTATAATGTTTGTTCAAGATTGTGGCTCAGTGGGTAAGGCTTTCAGCTGCTGCTATGATTAGGGATTATATCAACTAGACACTCTGGGGTAAGTATAGTGACGGAGCTTAACCTATCAATTCTATCCCATCCTGATGACTCCTCTGATGTCACATGCCTTTTTGTATAAGGCAGAGAGAGAGAGAGAGAGAGAGAGAGAGAAAACATAATTGAATCCTCTTTGGTCCTTCGCCTACTGCCAGAGCTGGATCTTTCCAATGCCATCCGCAGACTACTGATGGTGGACCTTTGCATTCACCAGCCAGTGCTCCTTGCTGTTTCTGCTTCATCATCCTGCTTCCTGTTCAGCTTCCACAAGTTCGGAGAACCTGAATTGAACCAGACTACTGGACTTACCTATTTCTACAATTCTAAGCCATTTCTGATAGATCTTTCTATATGCAAGGCATACAAGCATTATCAGTTTTGTTTCTCTGGAGAACCCAACCTAACACAACTGCTAACTGCACCGCCAGCCCTCCATGGAAGAGAGATGAGGCGTTTTACTCCCATAGTTACAGTCTTGGAAATCTACAGGAGTCACTCCACCTTGTCCTCTTACAGAGTCACTGTGAGTCAGAATCAACTCCGTGGCAATGAACATTTTCCCAGGCCTTCCAAAAGCACACTGCTAGGTCTGTCTGCTATAGGGCCACTGGGTGAGTTCAAACGTCCTTTCAGCTAGTCCTCTCCAAGGACTTAACTGTTAGTGCCACCAAAACTCATACTTAACTCCGTAAATATTTTTGGTAATTAAAAATATTCACATTTTCAAAGTTTTCTCTTGATTTCATTCATAAGCGGGGAGTCATGCCTTACATGATTTCTTATTCAGTAAGAATTTTATTACTTATTAATCTTATTACGCAAACTAGTGACTCGGGCAAGCATATTTGATTTCCTGTGACTGCAGTAGTGTGCTAGTACTTGGTGTTTTTAAAGTAAATGTAAATGCATTTAAGGTGGTATATGGGCACCTACCCCAGCCTTCCTTAGTCTAATACTTGGCCCAATTACCATAGATGGTACCTTTCTGATTTCGACAATTATGAATTAAATAACATTTCTAGAAATATAAGCTCAATTATTAATCATTTAGTTTTAAATTATGGATTCCACATCAAATATTTTGTATCAAGAAAATACAACTTTATTAAGAAATTCAGAGTCTTTAAATTAAAAAAATATTCCCTGTTCTTAACTTTGAAAACACAATTAGGTATATATTATAAAGACTCAAATAAGTTTTAGATAATCACATGAAAGAAATATGAATAAGTATGTAAGACAAAAAAGAGTGAACTTTTATTCCTAAAAGTCTGTAAGAACACTTATTCCCCAGTTTATTTCAGATGCTGGATGCTCAAGAATCGTGTCTATTTTATGCCATGGTTTTGATTCAGTGACCTTACATGACAAGAGTTAAAGTAGCCAGAGGGTTTCTTTTTAGGTCTCTTACAGGAGTGGACAAATAACTTTTTTCCCCTCTCCATTGGAGACATTGAGGGTTTGAACCACTAACGTTTGAGTTAGCAGTTGAGCACTTAATCATGTTGCACAAAGCCCACTAATAGCAGCAAAGTACAAAAAGGGCAACAGAAGGTCATAGCAGTTAGATGGGACTCAATTCACAGCATAATGAAAGGATAAGGCAAAGAAAATTAACAGTCACCCAAAAGCATACCAGTGTATGTGTTTGCTTTAAGCTATTTAGTGCAAAAAGAGATAGTTAACTATAATCAAATAAAATAGCAATTTGTTAAGAAAGGTACACAAAAATATGTAGTTTCTTTCCCCCCACAACTAGATAGAAAAAAAATCTAAAAAGGTGAGGCTTACACGAGTTAACACTCGGCTACTAAATATAGGTCTCAAAAATCTTGAAAAATTATATGCATACCCCTAGTTCATCCAAAAACATGATCATACGATGTTTATTACTTTTGATGAATGGATTTACACCTTCCATATAGGGTTCCTAAAAAAGAGAAATAAGATTCTATAAATATTGTCTAATCTTGATAACAAAAGAAAATACAGCAAGAATTCTTGCAAATCCAGTTATGCCTCTTAATAGCCAATACAAGTGTATATAAAAATCAAATAAATGCTGCTCTTATTTTCCTTCTAATAGAGAGGCAAGCAGATATACTGAGGGACTGAGGAAACTTTTCATAAGAAAATGAGAAATTGTATACCCAACCATAAATCAGAACACACATCTAGCTGACTTACATTGCTTATTTGAAAATTTATTAAAAAGAATAACTGAGACATTTTTAATTGCCAGGCACCAGAACAAACATGGGTCCACACCAGGGGTATGGTTTAGCAGGGACTACCAGGAACTAAAATCACAGTGTGATAAAGATTACAACTCTTCAACTCACTGCCACTGAGTCTATTTAGTCTTGCAGTGACCCTATAGGACAGAGGAGAACCTGTGGGTTTCCAAGAGTGTAATTCCAAAGGAATAAAAAGCTTCCTCTTTGTCCATCAAGATTAGAAGAGGGAAATATTACTACATAACTATATACTACTATATACACATATGTATCTATAACTATGTAATTTTATATATACTATTTAAAATATTACTAATAACCCACCTCAGGACTCAGCTAACTTATAAATTCACCATTATATACAAACTTCTCATCCTAAAAAGCCTGCTATGTTATAAAGTGGATTATCAAATATTAACAAAAATGACCAAAACCATGGTCATTGAGTTGATCACAACTCACAACAACCCTATTTAACATTTCTAAGGCTGTAAATCTTTACAGGGGTAGACAGCTTTACCTTTCCCCAAATAGTAATAGTGGGTAGTGGGTTTGAATCATATCTCGCAGTAAGCAATTCAATGCTTACTTTAAATGCATTTGCACAAGATACTTTAAAATCACTCTTTCTCCTAAAACTTACAGTACATTCAAATGCCGGTAGGTTCTACCAGTGACATAGTGGATTTACACACTGGACTGCTAACCACCACCAGGTCAGCAATTCAAATCCACCAGCTGCTCTGACGTAAAAAGATGAGATTTTATTCTCATAATGATTACAGCTTTTGAACCCTACAGGAGCAATTCTACTCTGTCCTGTGTAGTCTTTAGAAACTGGAACCAATTTAATGGCAGTGAGTTTGGGGTTTTTTTGTTGTTTGTTTGGCATGTGTGGGTACTAGAATAGAGGGTATTTTTAAAAATAGTTCATCCGAATTTTTATATTTGCAGTGAATATTTGAAATAATAAAATAGATTTGAGTTCATAAAGAAAATATTCTGATTTTTATATTTATTTCTGGAAGAAATGGAGTGTAATGGACCTAGAAAAATAAGTTTTCAAGAGTAATTAAAGACTGACTTTAGAAATTTCACTATTATGTATAATCTATAAACATTTAAAAAACAAACTGATAAATGAATATATACCGAATATATCTGAGTATAAGCCAACCTGAATATCAGACGAGGCACCTAATTTTACCACAAAAACTGCATTTAAAATGTGCTTATACACAAGTATATACACTAACTTCTTTTTATGAATTAGCTAGCCACTGTTGAAATTTTACATAAACCATATATTATGGGTTCATCATGTCAAACGTTCATTCATAAATCCTATTTTCATGTATCAAAATGTTTTTACCTTAGCTCCAAATTCCACAAGATTTGCTAAATTCTGTACAGATTTAGCCACTAATATCAGTGTTCTTGCAGCAATAGGAGATGGGGAATCTATAAGAAAGGTAGACATAACTAGTGACATCATTTCCAAAGGCACCTCTCTAGTAAGCCACTATAAATTTTACACTTTAGTATTTCCTTACTGTTAAAAAAACTAATATTTTTTCTTTTAGAACTTGTTTATTGAAAAATATATGACCTGTGTAATTCAAAACAACTTGAATGATAAGGGTGACAAAACAAAACTTATCTAGTCTTGTCAGAAGTAAACTTCCCAAAATGGATGTCAATATTTCAGATTATTTCAAAGGTCAATAGCTAAAAACACTGTCACAATTTACATTCCCCTCAGAAGCTAATTTCAACCCACTCAGCAATTTAAAATCCAAGCAAATCCCTGCTCACAATTTCCACTGATTACAAATAATTCATTCTAAAGCTCATGAGCACTAACCAAGTGTCAGACTTCTGCTGCAGTTTGAGGGAAAAAGCATGAGCTTTAATAGCCTTTTAAAAGAGCAGTTAAGGAACATTTTCTATAGAATATATATGCCAAGAAGTATCTGTGGCTATTGAATTAAGCCCCCAAACTTGAGTCTTATTTATAACAGTAAAAACCTATACACAGCAATTATAGTGTTACCTACTAGTTCAAAGACCAATATTCAAATAAATAAATCTATCCAAAAGGAGTACAAACCCATAATCGTAAGAGATTTCAAACATTTTAGCATCAGTAAAAAATAACAAATGTATGATGGCTGTAAATTACTTTCCAAAAATTTTAACTTTCAATTAACATAAGAATGGCTCGTATTACTTATGTTAATGGATTTTTTATTGCATTTCGTGTCACTGACATCACTTTTCTACATCACTGGAAAGTCACTGTAGAATGGACATACAATCTAACTTGTCAGATTTTAAATGGCCAATTAACACTATCAAAAGTGACAAGAAATCTCTAGTGGGGAAACCAGGGTTGCTTTCTTCATAATAAATATTCAAAGAACACGATAGCAACTATAGATAAATAGTTTTAATTTGATCTTAAGGTCCATCTTGCAATCGTATTAACAGTGTATGCAGAGAGCGCTCCTCAACTTGGAAAACCAAGTTGCAACTTGAGAAAACCCTTATTTATCAGAGTTTGTGACAAAGGTAAAGATGGGAAAAAGAATGTTTCTCATCATGCCACTTCAGGTTTTAGATCATAGGTTCCCAAAATTAATTGACCTACTGCCCCCTTTTCAAAAAAAAAAAATGATTCAGGGTCCCTTGACAATTAAATATTTTATACTATAGACCATAATGTAAGATGAAGTACATGTTATGTCTCTGCTTTTGCAGCTCCTCTGTCCCATTGTTCCAGTGGGGAGGGGGGGGGGAGGGGGGGGCATTAACATCCACGTTGGGAAGCACTGCTTTAGATATTAGATGGACAGATTAGCTAATGAAGTAAAAGGAAGAAATGAGACGGATGCTTTGGAATGCATTATGGACAACCTTAGAAGTAAAAAAAAAAGAATTTTAGTCAGGCTAATAGGAAAAGCTAAGTATTCTTACTAAGTAGTATGAAACTTTATATTTTTAAAATTTGAAACTCATCAAAAGCTGATTACCTGAGATGATATTAAACATCCGTGGATTCAGAATAGCAGGGCAGATAAGTCGAAGAAATACGAAGCCACTAAATCGAAGGGAAATATACACATATATATTTGAAAAATACTGCATGTATATTATATTAAAACTATATATATATGTAAACATATTTTAAAATATTCATAGAACATTACTCTGAACTATAGGGAATCCCAAACAGCTAGCTTAAAATAATAAGTCAAAATAACTTATTTTAAGAACATACATAAATGTTTCTTAAATGTATTAACTTTATCCAAATTGGAAATTTTAGATTTACTTAGCGAACATGCTAAGTTAAATCTAGAGTGTCTCTTGTCTTAACTGTTATTTATTCCAGGCTAAGAAAATCTTTGGGTTGTGAAAAGAGTTAATGTGCTTTGCTGCTAAACTGACAGGTTGGCTGTTCATGTCCATTCAGAAACTCAGAAGTACTTAAAAGAGAAAGTCTAATTAACTTAAAAAAAATCATTTATTGGAAACCCTAAGAAGTACAGACCTGCTCTGACAATCAAGGGGGTACCACAGTAGGAATCAACTCGATGGCAATACATATAACCCACCATCAGGGCTCCTGGCTGATTAGAAATGTCATTGCATTCTTATTCTCAGGAAATAGTATCCTTAGGAACTGTGAAAATTGCTGAGTACTAGTACAAGAACTAAAAAAAACCTATTCAGAGACACACAGTCCTATAATGGGCTAAAACTTTCTTCCTCTCACTTTTCTTTAAAGTTTATTATTTAAAGAACAGCCGATAAAGTCTGCTCTAAATCAAGTTGGTTACATATATTGTTACCGTGTTATCAGGAGACATCAGTCCTTGGAGGAAAACAACATGCTTAGCAGAAGGGCAGAGAAAAAGAGGAAGAACCTCAAGAAGATGGATTATCACAGCGGAGTGGTATAAAAAAAATGCAACAAATGTTACAAAATTAAAAGTCTATGTCATTATGTAAAAGAAAATTCTGATTTTCTTTTAGAAATCAGGTAGTAGGTGACTACTGATCCTTATAAAGGCATTCTCAAAACAGTTTATAAAGTTTGCACTAGAAATTGGAAGGTCTATGTTTTCTGTGCTAGAAGTAGATAATTCATTTTCTAAGTATTTATACCTTTGCACCTTTGAGCCTATTAGGGGTTTGCTAATTTGAGCACTGTTAGAAGATTTATTTCTCAGACAACAATTATAATTGTCGTCTTTAAATTTGTGTTTTAAACTCATTTTTAAAGTTTGTACAAATGTCATTAGAAAACAGTTTTATTCTTTAGTCCTTGACCATGAAAGCATAGCCCTGCAAATATTGAATTATAAAAGATTTTCAACGTGCAAGTTTTCCTGTGAGTTATTAGAAGTGATGCGAAGTTTAAAGAGATACATAGGTACCTACACATATTAAAAAACTTACTAGGGCTAATAATCATGCCTGTGAGCACAAATGTCCCTTTCAACACCGTGCTAGAAACTATTTATTAAAAGTTTTCAGTAAGGTTGGACACAGGACTGTGCTAAAGCATAACTTCTTTGTATGATTATAATTCTTCCTCTTCCTAACTATTGCTAGACTCAAAAAATACGGCGCCTACAATTCTTAAGTACTTAAAACTAACCAAGAGATACCTTTCTTGCAAAAGAAGTTGTAAAAATTTAGACAAGTAGAGCAGGATTAACATATATTTTTAAAACTAGCTGCAATAATATTCATAGATTTAATATTTATGGGATATAATATGACCAGCAGGCTATAGTTTACATCATAATAAATTATATTATGAAGCTGGCTGTATTCATCCATGGTTTTGAACTAAACTTCCAATTGTCTTGAATGGTTTGGGGTCTGTTTCAGACAAAGTGTGCAATAATGTTGAGGATAACAGATTGGGTCTTACAAGGTTTGCCTTTGCCACTAACTTTCCGTATAGCGTTCTTGTTGGTTCTAATTCATAGCAACCCCATGTACAACAAATATTGCCTAATCCTGTGTCATCCTCTCAAGTGTTCCTTTGTTTGAGCCCATCGATGTAGCCACGATGTAAATTTACCTCTTCCTCTTTTTTGTTGCCCTCCTGCATCAGGTAAACAATTTAGCCTCTCCAGATCTACTTCCTCATTGGAAAAATAAGTTATAATAATAAAGTCCCTTTATGTCAGCTCCAAAATGTCATGACCTGCCAACACAATTCTTTTCATTACTTACTGCACAATGGGCAGAGTGAGACCTGGGAACTGGCTTCAGAACTCGTGACTGACAAAAGAAAAGCCTGGAGTCACAGGCCTTAGTACAGACCAATCTAAATGACTTCCTTATTGCTCCTCCCTCTTAGCACCAAATCATTTGTGTGTTATGTGTGTTGGGACGAGAGGTAAAAAGAAGTTATAGATTTAGCTGGTTTAAAACTTCAAGCTCAATGTATATGACAAAAATCTCAAGTAGTTAAGATTTTTTTAAAAACCAGGTAGCTAAATATATCATAACTCATTTTTTAGAACAATTGTTAATGAACCATTAGAACTCAAAAGCACATTTGACAAGGCATCAAAGAAAAAGGCCTTGAATTGTATTCTTTGCATATTACTTTTCTAATTTTCAAAATTATTCCCCAAACTATTTGCTTTCTATATATAACAGTGTAGCAGATATATTGACTAGCCTTACCTAACAACTCTGGTTCTCATGGTGGTATTTGTTGGCCACTTGTGCTGCACAGATTTCTGTAAACACCCATAAATATATCTCAGTGTCCTGTCAAAATAATACAATCATCTCAATACAGAAAGCAAATGAAAATACTGAACTTATTATAGCCAAAAAAAACACATTTTAGTGCAATTGGCCTTCTCACCCAAAATGTAATTTGCTTACAGTAATGAGAGTCATATTTAGAAAGGAATAAGAAAAAATTGAACGTTTTAATCAATTTACTTAGGCAACATCTTAACATTTACTCTGGAAAAAAATGTTACTTGTTTTAGATATTACTATATTAGTGAAAGGCATGAAATTAAGTTATTTGAACAGAGCTAAAAGCTACATAAGGATTTAATGAGTCCAACTTTCTGGGAGACACATTTCTGGCTTAAGATAAGTTAGCTTCTACCTGAAAAAGGTGAATTTACTAATATGAGAGGGCTTTAAGCCAAAATTGAGTGATTATCTGGTAACAATTTAAAGAACTTTAAGCATACACTAAATGGATAGGTCTCTTACAACCAACCCCAAACCTAAGATTATAAACTTCTACTACATAAACAAGACATGTTGACCAAGTAAAACAAATGTGGTTTGTTTTAATTCACTCTTTCATTATACACAATGTGTCATGCAAAGATTTTTTTTTTTCCGGAAATCTAATATTAGAACAATGGAAGTTTTCACATGATTTAGAAACACAAATTTTCAAACACAGATAAACAATTTCTGGTCAAATTCAAATGTCACCACTTACGGTGGAAGTATTTCTGAGGCCATGAATATTTTCTCCACCAGCTCTGAAAGTATGTTCAATAGGTGTGCTAAATTAGTGTTCACATCTTCATTTTTTTCTAACTTTGATGGACTTAACTAAGAGAAGGAATAAACATAAATGAATCTTGGCAATGACAAACGCAAATGAATAAAGGTAACCAAGAAGTTGTAGTTTTCACTGCTATTTTCCCTTTTGGGGGGGTAGGGGGTGTACCTTCTTTTAAATGGACTTTTAAAAACATATTTTGCTCTATGGAATTCCTTCTAATCTGTTTATTTCCTATCACCAGATTAAAAGAAAGCAGTGAGTACATATAACAATTTTCAGCTACCACACTTTGCAATTGATAGACATAAAAAATTTTAGGTTAGGCTTTCGTTATTCATCTAGGTAAAATATTCTCACGAAAAAGCAAAAGACCCACAACTTTAATGGCCATTTAAAACTATATGAAGACAAACCACATCGACTGTCAGTAAATTGATTTCAACTGAACAAAACCAATGCTACTATCATCAGGTAAATTCTAATTCAAAGCAACCCTATAGAAGGTGTTTGAGGCTATAAATCTTTACAAGAACAAACAGCCTAATCTTTCCACTGGTGAGTGAACGGCCTACCTTGGCTATCCGTTCAGTGCTTACCTGAAAGTGCCACCAGAGAGTACGAGTATTTAAATAGGAAACGTGTTCTCATATCATTATAATAAAATCTAGTTTATTTCTATGTATTTCAGGGGGAGGGAGTAAAAGTCAAAACATGAAATATAAAGGCCCATCTGAGCTAAGACTTAATACTAAATTCCTTAAGAGACGCACCTGTCTTTATTAAAACATTTCTTATAACCCCTGAATAGTGCCTGTTAAGCCAACTATGGTTTCCAGTACAAACTTTTTCCCTTTATTAGTTAAAAAAAAAAAAAAGGCAAAGTATCTTTCAGAATAAACCTAGATATTATGACGTGCTACATAGGCCTTAACAAGATTATATAATAAAAATCTCTAGCAAAGCCTTCAATTGGTCTTATGTATCCTTTCTGAAAGCAACATTAACTTATCATTAATACAGCAGGGAAAATGATAAAAGTACTTGCAGGACTTTCTGATGCAATTTGCTTGTTTTCAATCCTAAAATAACAAATTCTTTATAAAAAATCTGTTTCACCTAACATTTTAATAACTGAATTAGCAAAGAGATAATTGCTCCAATGAATAACTTTAGAACACTAATATTTTCCTTGAAATATAATTACCTTTAAAGCATTACCTATTAAATATGCTCATTTCAATATTTACATTTAATTCTTACCTCACAAGACTGCTTGCTTTCCATTATCTTTAAAATAGAGTCTTTCAAAGCATGATGAACAAACTGCGTAGCAGTGGCTTTCATATACTGCTCCATCAAGGTGCTTGCAAGTGTTGTGGCTCGAAAAAGGGTAGTGGCTTCATCTATACAAATAATTATATTAAAAGATATTGTTGAATAAGATTGTACTAGTGTGCAGCAAATCAGAAGAAATGAATTCATTTATCCTCAACCACTAGACAATTATACCATTCAAATTCTTGCAGCACTGAAATATTTATTTTAATCACATTCTGAATCTCTATAGATTTCTTCTGCAAAGCACTTTAAATACTCTATCTCATTAGATGGTGTACAAGAGAAAAAAGACTTGTGCCCTTCCCCTTCCTCTATGTTGACATGGACAAAAAGGAAAAATAAATTAAGGCTCAGAATGCTTACATGACTTAACCTAAGACCAAATAGTCAGGGACAAAACTTGATCCAGATTCCACCTTTGCTGCCCACTGATCGATCCCTTGTTTTCAAAAATTTGTGTCAATTCCCCCCCAAAAAATATAAAATCCAGTATAAGTAGTTTATTAGCCTAAACGATGACTATTAGTGAGTTGTTAATAAAATTCTGCTAAAACACGAATATTATAGGAAAAAGAATCTCAGTTGTAAAATGTGTGAACACTTAATCCATTCCTTACAGTTACATATTCAAACACATTCTATAAATTAGGAGGATATAGTTCTATGCTTTCCAGTTTACTTATATACTTGGTAAGCATGTGCAGGCACTGTTAGTGAGTCAAAGCAATGGGGAAAAATGAGTTACTGTGGCATATTTGTAAGGCCTTCAGAAGCACAATGCATTCAGTTATATTGCCTGGAACTCGCATCTACAGTAGCAACAAATAAAATACAGTTAACAACAACTACTGTTCAATGAGTTAGTAAATAAAAGATAAACAAGCGTATGGCAAGTATGTCAGATTATTCTTAGCAATCATGCACTATATTGACCTGGAAAAAGAAATCACCTTTTTTATTGCTTCTTTATATATTAGTTTGCCATGATAGAATCCTATATTAGAAATACTAGCCTCCAAGGGTAGTTATCAACTTATCAGAGTAAGTCAAAAAGTATTGCTATGAATCATAGAAACCTTTATTAAACAATCAAAATATTAAAATGTGAAGCTACTGTTGGTTGACAGACACTTTGTCTAGGTCTACACACTTTGGAAGACAATTTCTGTATAACTTGGACTGAAGAATTCTGCACTCCTTGATTTACATCACATCTGAAGGGGAGTTTTGGCATTCTTGGTTCCTTTCAAATATTTTTTGAGTTCTGGGGACAAAAAGGAGTCTGAAATGGCAGATCAGAGTCATAGGGTGTGTGAGATTAGGTTTCTCAAAAAACTTCTTGTAGCCCATCAAAGAATAAGAAGGTACATTGTCATTACGAGAAAAAACTCCTTGCCACGCCTGTCTTTCTCCTAACCAATAGGTTTCAATTCCCTTAAAACAGCTTCATAATAAGCATCCATAAATATACCTTTGAGACGTACCTTTGAGAAAATATATCAAGACTGCTTCTTTGGCATACCAAAAACACAGATGCCAGGAACTTCTGAGTTGACCTCTCTGCTCTAAATGTAAAATGACTTGCTCCCTGGACTCATTATCAGTTATGATCAGTTTAATAAAATCATCCTTATCAGGTACAATTTTACTTTAAAATGACGGAAAGAATAGCCCTTTGAGCTAGCTCACTTTAATGCAATGCGTATGGCACCCATAGAACCAAGAGCTTTCTGAAGCAAAGATGTACACTTAAAATTGAAAAGGCTGAGCATCATGTGTGACCCCAACTTCAGAAGCTACTGCATCAGTGGTAATTCTACACTTCTTCCATCCGTTTCTAGACTTCTGCCACAGTTTCTGCAGAAATTGTGATTCATTGAGGTTGACATTGTATGCTCTTACATTTGAGTTTTTACTTACTTCCTTAAAAAGCTTGATCCATTTAAAAACCGTTGTTTCACGTGGAGCGGCATTCTCATAAATTTGTTATGAAGTTTCAATGATTTGGAAAGATACCTACCTGAGTTCTGCTAAAAGTGTGTTATCAGACCTGATCTCAAAATTGCTTCCCATAGCGCAAAAAAGTCTACCCGCCCTCACTTTTTTGTAAAGTCACCCTAAGAAGACAAGTATGTTACTGAGGGAAGTTTTCTGTAGCCACCCACTAACTGCAGAGACGCAAACAAATACATTGTGTTTGGAATAAACCCGGGTAACAATACTTTTTGGCTTACTCTCATAAAAGTCAAAACTAGAGTCCCAACTACCATTTTTGATGAAGGAAAAAGAGAAGAATGACTTATTTTGCAATAGGATTTACTATTTTAATATATTCAAAATAGTCATCTATATGTCCTTTATGTAAAGATAATATGCATATACATGTGTGTGAATATATGTAATCTAACCCTTTTTTAAAGCATTACACTAAAACACCCATACTATACCTTCCATGCTTATTTCTCTGTCATTTAGTGTACATAGTAACAATGATTCAAGCTTTTCATGAAGAAATATCCTCAGAAGGATGCTAGCCAGTAGTGTTCGGTCTTGTCCACATACATGTGATAAAGCATAGACAACATGAAGTTCCTTTTGCAGTATAAGCTAAAAATGATATTAAAAAAGGCTGTTTAAAGTACATGGCATTAAGTATTCTCAGCAAGACAAGAAATACATTTTTAATATATTCTTATATTTAGAAGTATATTCTTTTGAATACATTATCAAAAACAATGCATTTGCAGTCTACCTATTTTTAGTCTCTTAGGATCAACATTATAGGGGTGAAATTCTTTTAGCTCTGACTGTCCACTAGCTATTAGGTTTTAAAATTATTACATTTAACTAAATGAATCTTTCATTAGATGTTAAATGTTTCTGCTAATACGATTAAAAATAATTAGGTAAATAACTTAATACCTCTTTAAATTCACTGTACTCTTCTTCTGGCATGATTTTTTCCATAGAGTATCGTGCTCTGACACGCAAGGATCCTGGTTCAATACCTTTTAATGGTATGTGGGAGCTGAGCAGAAACCATTCATCAGTGGCATGCCCTTTCTGTAATCGACTCAACTGGCAACGCATAAATACTTAAATAGAAAAACATGGTCAAATTATTAGATTACTGTCTAAAAATATGATTCGATGATTACTCACGAGTTAATGCTCCTGAGGCTCAGTCTCAATAGTTTTAGATTTTTTTTTTTTAATTAAAACTTCAATGACATTATACATTCAATCTTTACGGACTTACTAAATGCCTACTATACTATGAGTGGTAAGTGTATGAGAAACAGATATGATCCAGACATAGTCTTGAACTCCCATGGAGATTAGTCTAGCTAGAGGAAGCAAGAAATCAATTATGGTGTAGTGTAGTAAGTACAACAAGAATGGTTAATGCTATTTGGAATATAAAATTATATACACATACACCATATCTACTCAAGTATAAGCCGAGTTTTTCAGCACATTTTTAATGCAGTTTTTGTGGTAAAATTAGGTGCCTCATCGGATATTCGGTCGGCATATATATTCGAGTATATTTGATATATATAATTTAGGCTGAAGCGGTTAGAAATACACTCCAAAAAGGTAACCAACCCTTTTGCAGGTTTTTAATAAGATCTGAAGGTGCAGCTAAGTAGAAAGAGGGGGTGGGGGTCAGGGTAGTGGGAGCACCACAGAGGATTTTAAATCCCATGGTCAATTTAAGAATTAGAAGCATGCTGGCATGGTTTGTGAGAAGGATATACAAATGATTATGCAGTGGGATTGATGGGGAGAGATCAAGAAAGTGCCTTGTGTGTTACTACGGGTTTGAACTTTATCTGAGAAGTAAAGTAGGAAACCACTAACAAATGGTATGCGCTTAAACAGTAAAGAAATTATGGAATAAATACTTTACAAAAGTCAGGCTTTGATCTTTAATGCATAGGATCACTTTCTTAGCCTGAATTTTAAGACTGTATTAACCTAATTTACTCTGGTATGAACTGCTAAAACCCCCTGCCAACTGTCTCTGTGACAGAATAGAAAAAGATGTGCTGGAGAGAACAAGAACTGGGAGGGATTAACCAGTAGAACTGAATGAAGTATGTGAGTTTAAATAATCTTTGTATTTTAATCAACCGTTTTGTAAAAGACTTACATACCATCTACAAGAAAATAAAAACAAAAAATAGAAAAGCTGGTAGGGTAGGGTAAGCAGGAGAGCAGCCCAAGAGATGCCCACTATTAAGGTGTTAGTTAGTACTACTCATTGTGCATAGGGAATATATACTGGATTAAGATTATAGTATGACCAGTTTAGCCATTTTGCTCTTTTGTCTGTCTTATATACTTTCTGATCAAAAGGAAAATATCTTAAAATGACACTACATGTACTTCATATTTTTATGTTTAAATTACCATTTTAAGGCTACATTTTATTATGAATTTCAAGGGTATATAATTTTTTACATATTTTCTGCTTTCTGATTGGTGTTTTCTCTGTTTCACTGGTGTTAGTGTTTTGTTTGTTTGAAAGTTTTTCTGTATATTTTATACAGGATAGGTAACTCTATAGAGATGGGTCCTTGGGGATATGCAGGGGAGGAGCTAATAACAAAGAATACAACAACAAAGAAAATGTTCTGAGATTGTGGTGATGACTGTACAACTTTTCTTAATATAATTAATTACTGAATTGTATGACAATAAATATTTTTATAATAAATGTCAATAAATATTTTAAGTTTTAAAAATAAATAAAATCATAAAGCAATAAGCATTATTGTGCTCTATTGTGTAAATCTGTTACAAAACATTCCCTGTGTCTTACTGAATAAACTGTTTAACTCTTCTCTCTATAATCTGTGCCAAAGTGTATAATACATTAAAACCTATTAAAGACATAAATGTTTAAGAAATGTAAAACTTCTTATTTATACATGAAATTTTTAACTTACAGATATCAGGATCTTTGCTTTTCTTTGTTTTATTACTAAGAGTTATTTCAAATCTGTTGATATCAGGAGGAAGATCACTAAAGGAGCAAGAATAAGCAGAATTAACAAATTTTCTTGGCATCAGATTATCTGGTATGCTTTAGCTCTAGAATTAATTCAGCCCCTACTTCTGGTCAACAACTTTCGTGCACTAGGTTTAAAAGCAGACTGAAAACGTTTCACAATTTAATATGCAGGAACACAGAAGCATATTACACACTTTCCCTAACATCTTAAACTCTCTTAAACTAGCAACAATTCATTCAAGAAAGTTCAGGAAGCCCTAGCACGTATTTTACATGAAAAAGCGTCCTTTAAACTTACCAATATACTGATTCACAATAATAACTAAGCAAAAAACTATTAGCATTTTACTAGTAAAAGTAAACAAATACAACAAAAAGTAATTTTATACACTATTGAACACCTGAACCTGGCGCTGAGTCCTGAAAATTTCAATGGAGAGGCAGAACAATAGGAGAAAGATTAAATATTTTAAGTAAAATGACTTATTATAATGATAAAATCCAACTTACTCAAAGACAAACTCTTCAGACCAAACAGGGTTTTGCCCTTCTCTTGCATGAGTTTTTGCTACCTGGACACTATTCAGGTAGATGTTACAATATGGGTTAGTAAAATGTTTTACTGGGAGTTTATGGGCTTCTTCAATATGTAAAACAAGACTGCTGACCTACAGAAAACATAAAAATAATTACCACAGATTGAGTTATGCAGTCGGTTTTAAAAGCAGTTATTGTGGAACAAAAAAGCCAATGATGTACCCCCTTTCTATTCCCCGCCCAAAATATCAATGGTATTTCCCGTTTTATATGACCAATGATAAAATATAACACTTAAGTCTTTGAAACAACTTGTTAGCTTAAAAAAAATTATAAAAGTGTTATTTTATAATTATCCCTCCAACTATATAGTCTTATTGAAACAATAAAGTATACCTTTCCCCATACAACATTTATTTAGAGAAAATAAAGTTGAAAAGTTAGAATGTTGTATTTCTACAAACGGTTTTACAGCTAAAACTACTTTTCAATCAGTGAATCTGCCTCATTTTATGAACACGTTACAGATCCAAGACTCTAACCAGGGGTCCTCAAACTTTTTAAACAGGGCAAGTTCATGTCCATCAAACCCGTTGGAGGGCCGGACTATAGTTTAAAAAAGAAAACACTATGAACAAATTCTTATGCATACTGCACATATCTTATTTCGAAGTAAAAAAACAAAACGGGGCAAAAACACCCGGCGGGCTGGATAAATGTTCTCGGCGGGTCGCATGTGGCCCGCGGGCCATAGTTTGAGGATCCCTGCTCTAAACTACCTATCAGGAACCAAAGTTGTGTGTCAAAAGTTAGGGCATCACACACTTAACTCTAGCCCTAATCTAAGAACAATTAGTTCTTTTGATACTCATGCTCATAAAGAGATAACTGAAGATAAGGGTGTTGAACCAAAGAGTGGTGAAGAAATCAGATGGTGCTCAGCTATCAGAACAGTGTCTGGGGTTTTTAAAGGATTGTCTTCAAACAAGCAGCCACCTAAGCAAGGCCTCAACCAAGTCTACACAAAGGAAGAACACCAGTGTGTGTGATCCAAGGATTATGGATATTAAAATCCAAATCTAAAGGATGGAATGGTATTAGAGTTTAAGTTAGGAATGCCTTGTTTGCAGACGGCTATAGATGGGAATGGAATCCCAAAATAAATTTGCAGGGTACCCATATGTATTAAATCTCCTGTCAATTCCCTTTGACCAGAGTCCAGGGAAGTAAACAACCCTGCTATCACACAGTATTGTAAAACTGGTCATGGCAGATGTAGTTAGGTTTACATACAACACTTTATCATTTTATCTCCCTTTTGACCCATTTTAAAGTGGTTTCAATTTTTTAATGTTTCAACTTTATTTTCAAATGAGATTTTACTGTTTCATTTCGTCATTATTGTTGGTTTGGGGGATTGTGTTTTGTATGATTTTTTGTATATGAAATTCAGGGCAGGTAAATCTATATGTACGACAGAAACTGCATTAATAATTACCTAAGGGAAGAGCAGGCGAGGTTGGGGGAAACTGGGAGCGAACGAGTAGGAAAAGAAATGGTTCTAAAACTGATTGTGGTGATTACTGTACAACTCTTCTTAATGTGGCTGAACAATTATATTGTATGATATGTGAATTATATGCCAAGAAAACTATTTTTTTTAAAGTTATTATCATCTATCTCCCAGTATTAGTTCTTTCTCTTCTACCATCTACTGCTATGTAGCTTTGGGAAAGTCATTATCTCTATACCTATACTTTTCCCAAGTGTAAAGTAAATCTGTTGCAAAATAGTGATAACATAAACTATATATGTAAATAATGTAATAGAATACACATAAAAACTTGAATGATGTTAGTTCTGATTATATCACATTTTAACTACAAATGGTAACTTCAAGGCTTAAGTTTCACACAAGGGACAACTTGCTGTTTGTTTTTCATAACTTACAAAATATTACTTCAAAAAATCTTAGGGGAATTGCATTATCTTTTCATTCAAATTTTCCATGAATTTTTGAAGCCCCC